CCTTCACAGCCAGCCTGTCAGTCCTCTTCTTTCCCGCCAGTGGCTCAGTCCCTGGTTCCTATTTTGCATGTCTTCCTTCTTCTTGATTTGCACCTCCATTGTGGGGTCTCAAATATCTAAAAATGGTTCATTCTGCCTTTACACTCAAATGATGATTTGGCCAAGAGTTCTAGACAGAAGCGCTTTCTTGTCTCAGAGTTTTAGCAGCGTTTCCTCCATCGTTTTCTGGCCGCCAGCAAAGCCATTCGGAGAGTGGCCTTGGTGTTTGTCGTGTGTTCTTTCCATTTGGGAGCTTCTAAGATTTCCTATCTATCCCTAGTGACCGGCAGCTTCGTGGCGATGTGCTTTGGTGTAGGGTTTTCCCGTGTGTCCTGGTGAGCATTCGCTCATCTCATTTAATCTGGAGGTTTTTGCCCTCCTGTTTGGGGAAAATTCTTAACTTCTTTAATAATTCCCTTCCTTCTGTTCTCTGAGTCATCCTATTTTGATGAGCTTGGTAGAATTCATCCTATTGTAATGTTGGACCTGTGAGATCCATCCTGTTAAATCTCTCTTATCTCACCACTCCATCTCTTTGTTGTAAGCTCTTGGGAAAATTTTCTCAACCAACCTTTCTGTGGAAATAAAGGTGATTTAAAATATGGTTGAATTTAACAACTTTTGATTTCTTTGATATTGCTTCTTGTTTTGACCATGTGTGGGACCCAACACTGAAACATTTTTTGTTTATCTGCAATTTAAATTTAACCGGGAGTCTCGTAGTTTTGTTTGCTCCGCCTGGTAAACCTACTCCCAGTGCTTGTGATAGGAGATTAGAAAAATGGCGGTGACCTTAGACAGCAGTGATTTGGTCAGGCACAGGGTAATGTGCCTCACCTGTACCCAGCAGTCTTTCTAGATTTGCAAGGAGTTTGAACATGGGGAGGAATTCTGTTTGAGTGCTGGATCGCCAGCTGTACCCATGTTGGCCAAGTCGGATGGAGTTTGGAAGAAAAACACATGTCGTGGAATCAGAAATGCACCGGCCCAGCCCCATCCTCTTCTTCTATCCTGGTACGCTGGCTGCCAGCCTGCAGAAGTGGCTGAACTGGAATCCATGTGAAAAACTCTGCAGACAGCAACAGAAAACCCCAATCTCAGTTGTCCAGGCCGTCTCCCTCCTGTGTATGCGTCCCCACGGGAGGGAGACTTCCTGATATTTGCTCGGTTGTCTGAAGCCGACTTGCATGGTCCCTGCTTTCCGAGATCCTGCTAATGTTGGTAAGCCCTGAGTAGGCAGCAGACGTGTGGACAGTCTGTCTTGCAAATAGAAGAACCTTTACGTGTAATTCCAGCCACTTGTGCTTTGGATATTTCTGATCCAGGCGTTTTCTTCCGTGGGGCTTTCCTCCATTTCGCTGGCCTTCTTTTTCAAATTGTCCTTTCAGCTTTAGACCAAAATTCAGTTTTAAAGGAATCCATCGCATTTATGTGAAACTGTGAAAAAACTGGATTTCTAATCACTTTTTTAGATGCATGATATCCTTTGGCCCAACACATTCTCCAGAAGTGTGTACACACACACACACACACACACACACACACACACACTCAAGATGTGTAAATATGTTTCTTGCAATTTTATTTTAAACATTGAAGAATTAGAGATAACTATAATGCCCTTCAACAGGGAAATGGATTAAAGCTTCTATTGCTTTATACAATGGATGATCAGTTGAAATAAAAGCATAGCCAACTTGTATCTTTCTGCTTATGTTAAAGAACAGTATGAATAAATAACATTGCTAGTTCAGTACTTTTTTAAAACTTCAGTTGGGAATTTAAAATTCTTTTTCTGTATGACCTTGGAGTTTTGGGTTTTTTTAAAGCTTTTTGTTGTTGTTGCTTTAAATGGTGGTTTCTTTAATACTTTAATACTTTTTTTCCTGTGAAACTGGCATTCATTTAATAGACTTTATCACAAAGACAGCTCTAGTCATAACTTTAACTTTCAAAACACAGAAGCTATCATGTAGGAAATAATCTGTTTAGCATTTATGGGATATAAAGACCACATTTCTGCTTCCCAAATTATTATGATTTTTAAGCTTCTACTTACTCTGTTAACTTTTATTGAAAATGAGTACATTTTTCCAAAAAATTGTATATGCATATATGTAACGTTTATAAATTATAAATGTACTAACAGATATTTGTTATTCAGAAGCAAAACCTTAAAATGTGGAGACTAATATGTGTCTTTCAATTAAAAGGCGTCTCATTTATTTATAGTTAAGTCACAGTTTGTTTGTTTATTTGTTTGTTTTTTTGAGTTGGAGTCTCACTCTGTTGCCTAGACTGGAGTGCAGTGGCCGCTCCTGGCTACCACAGCCTTGACTTGCTGGGCTCCGGCCATCCTTCCGCCTCTGCCTTCCAAGTAGCTGGAACTACAGGCGCGCGCTACCACGCCCGGCTAATTTTTGATTTATTGTAGAGATGAGGTCTCGCCAAGTTGCCCAGGCGGGTCTTGAACCCGTGGGCTCAGGCAATCCACTCACCTCGGCCTCCCAAAGTGCTGGGATTACAGGCTGAGCCACCGAGCCCGGCACAGTTTGGTTTTTAACCCAAAGTGAATTATCCTCTATATCATCCACCACACTTACCAGATTTGGTCCCTAATCACTTTGGACAGTTTTTAAAATCAAATCCCCCCCACTAGCATTGGGTCAACTTAAAAGACTGTCTAAAAGGCTCTGATGGTAATTTTAGGAGAGGACGCCGCTTGAGAGAGATTGCTTATTTGGAAGAAAAGACTGTGTATCTGTGTGTTTGTACATGTATGTGTGTGCATAACATATAGATACATATATTCTCTGTTCAAATTCTATGTTGGAATTATTTGTGATGGCACAATTTGTGGATCTGAGAAGTCTCTTCAAGGTAGACTTTTTGTTTTTATAGTATCACGCCATTAGAGGGCAGTATTGTAGAAGTTAAATTTTCTTTCTCGAATGTAATGAATCGCAAGCTGTTTATGCTGTATAATAATCAAGCAAACTTCAGGCCTTAGATTTGTAGTATACTAAACTGTAACCTTAATTGATTTCCCCCCCCGCAAATATTTTAAATTAATATGGGAAATTCTGTAAGGGATGAAACTATTTTACACGCAGCTGTCTTGGAGAAGAGAATTATTTGGTCCACGTGGCCTTAAGGGTGAACTGGAGGTGAGCTTGCAGCATGCATGGGCTGCTTAACTGTTTTTAACCACCTTATTTTTACTGATTCTGGACACTGTGAACGAGTAGAGACTCATTTCAGGAGTCATGTGCTTTGAATACATACTTGACAGTGTTTCAGTCCCTCTGATGTAAGAACAGGATTAGGCCTTAGAGGAATTGCCACTTAACTTCCAAAAACGTGCCTTAAGGACTTACTGAAAATAGATCTATGTGGGATTCAACCTGTTGACTGACTTTTCTAGCTATAAATGGAAGAAGGCATGTTTAATTACTGGTGGGAAGATACTGCTAGGGAGGTGCGATTTTAAGGTTTATGGCTCTAGGGACATTTGGGAGAAAAGACACTTGGATTTCACCCGGTGGAGTCATTTTTGGACTCAATTTTTATATGCCTAGTAAAGAATGTAATGCTTTTCGTTCCGCAAGAAATTGAAAAATTCATGGAAAGGGAGTCTCTCTCAAAAAGCAAATGTGACTTTTCCCTCTAAAATTAAAAAAGTATTATTGCAGGACGGCTATTATCCCTAAAGATGAAACCGCCTGTAAAACCCTCCCATTGCCGCTGCCTGCAAGAACGAGATAATTGAAATTGAGACACTCGAGCCCTCGCAAGGCTCCCAGCGGGGGGACTGGGCATGCCCAGTAGCTCAGACGGTTCTGGTTGCAAAGAGGAAGCTTTCGCCGTTGGGCGGCCGCGGGACTGGCAGCTCCGGGGGCCGGGGTCTGACTCCCTGGAACGTAAGCGCGTGCGGGGCCCGGGT